AGGCAACGACAGAGGAGGTGTCGTCTACATATCTCAACCAGACTCGGGGCTTCTTGTGGGCTTCTTCAATGGCCAGAGTTTCAAACCACTCCACATATATATTGGCTATAACAGGTGAAAGTGGTGGTCCCATTGGCAGTTCCTCATCTTGCGTAAAGATTCGTCCTTCAGTTGGAAGTAGCAGTTTCGTACACAGCATCCTAGTAATTCCATGATTACTTGTGCCGGTAAAATTGTTCTATCTTTCAGGTCCCCATCTTCGGATAGCTTCCTCTGTATGATTTGAAGTGCTTCTTCGACGTTGGTGTAGAAACTTTCCACGTCGAAACTGATCAGTTGATCATGCTCTTTGACCTCGATTGCCCCTAGTAGTTCAACAAAATGTTTTACCTTGCAGTGGTTTAATTATTGGTAGTAAAAATTTGGACAAGTTCTGAGTGACTTCATCTCTGGAGCTAATGATCGTTCTGAGCGGAACATCCTTCTTGTGGATTTTAGGTAGTCCATACAAGTGAGGGGGCTTACTGTGGTGCTCTGTTATCGATGATCTCTCTTTTTCCGAAAAATAGACTTTGTGTTTTTTCAATGACTGGTACAACTTCTTTCACTGTTGTGATGGATACTGATCTCTAGGAACAAAAGATCGAAGAGGTGCTTAAGAAAGGGAAATACCACTGAAATACTACTGCATCAATTGAAAGGAAGTTGTACCAGAGATTATCGCTAGAGATGAATCATCAAGACTCTACTACACCGTGCTTTCGGGATCTGTAATACAAAGGAAGGTTGGGTTAGGTTAGGTTACTCCAAAGTGATGATGGAACAGGCTTTAGCTAGAAGACAGCAAGAAGAGAACAACAAGTTAGAGAAGCCGCCACAACCAGTACTTGTACTTCACTACATCAGAGGATTGTTAGAAAGGATTAGAGGGATTGGGTCCAAGTATAACATCAGAACATGCTTCAGATCTGGGAACACTATCCGTAGCAGCCTCACGAAAACCAGGCCACCAAATGCGGACTGCGATTCCAACAATTGCATTTACCGAATACCCTGCGAGTCCGAAGAATCATACATCGGTGAAACTAAGAGGCCATTGAAACTTCCCATTGCCGAGCACAAGAAACACACAGAGCGAGGAGAAACCAGCAAATCAGGAATAGCAGAGCATGTTTGGACTCATCAACATAATATCAAGTGGGCTCAAGCTGAAATCATCCACAAGGAGGAACACTGGTGTAGAAGAAAATTCAAAGAAGCCGCACATATGTTGTCCAACAACGCATTTAGCTAAGCTAGCGTAGAGATACGCAACATATGGAAACCTCTAATCAAGCGGAACATGACCAACTCCCGCTAAATGGTCAGCTTTCGCTAAAACCGATGAAGCGGAGAGAAGGAAGAGGGAATAGGTGAAAGCACTCGAATGACCTATAAATATTCAGATCTCGGAGAAATGAGTCCAGTTATCAACCGAAGATGATTTTGCATAATAACAATCGAAACGTCGTCCAGTAACTTAGTTTGGAANTCATGTTTTTGACATACATATACAACTTCCCTAAGGCAGGGCTTTACTTCCTTTCAATAATAAATTTTCATATTTTTGACATTGGGTTTTCTTATTAATAATCTCATAAAACAGCAGTTGACTCTGATCACACTTGCACCATAACTGTTCTCTTTTGTTCCACACTTAAACATAAACTTACAAACGAACGATCTTTCAAATTGAATCACAGGACAGCTCTGTCAGTGTCAATTGTTGTTATCTCTCTCTGTGGTCTGCAGCCACATGGCTTTTACCAGTAAATTATCATCAAGACTTCTTTCTCCAAGGTACTGTCAGAAAGATTATTGAAAACAACTGTTTTTCATTTGAAAAAAAAACATTCCTGATCAAAAACCTGATATATGGAATGCATTACTGCAGATCCATGAAAAAAATGTTCTATGTCACACGTCGCATTGCAAGCATCGAATGAATATGGAATTTGAATGATTGTGAGTTTGGAGCTTAGCCAAAACCAACATTTTTAGCGGTGATTAACAAGGCTTAAAATTACTTTCAATGGACGTTCCCATCACTCATATGTTGATATCGAACGGAACATTAATTCAACATACCATGACAGTCAGCATCTATGAAATTCTTACCTACAGGATGTGAAGACACAATCGAAGCTCGTTGATTTGCGTATCCACGAGATGAATACTCGGTAATACGGTAAAATTAGTTCTTAGAAATGAAAAAAGGTCGCGCATTTGCAAATTTTTCATAAGTCTTTACATTGAATGTGGTATAAAACCACAGAACCACAAAAGATGGGGTCGGATGTCTTTTCGTGTAATAGCAAAGATGTAGAAAACTATTGAGTGAGTATCTAGTCCTATAATTGTCAGTAAATTTTTAATTTTTCTCTTCTGTTTCATTCTCAATTACCACTAAATTTTCTTCAATGCTACTATCTCTAGGTTTTTATACAACTTACTTTCTTGTCAGTCTTTTTATTTGTCTGCTCCAAAAAAAATTGGAAAATCAATAACTTCCCAAAGAGCTACAAACTTGAAAATTTAGACATACTCAAATACATCACAGTGCAATACAAACTGAAAAATATATCATTAATAGTTAATTTGAGATAATTCATAGACAACTAAAAGAAAAATTAAAGCTTATACTGGAATCTCAAGCAAGGAAGATTATCCAAACAACGTAAGCTAGCTGAAACATTTTAGAAATAATAAAAACCCAAACGAGATCGATTCAGATAATTAGTTTAGTTCACAGTTCACATACTTTCAATTCGTCTTCATTATTCGATACGTAATTTCCCCCATAGCAATTTACGATTTGAGCCAAGTTGCGTTAATAAATGCTTTAAAAGTAATGAAAAATGTAATATTGTCGTTCGGTAGCCGGGCGATTCGACGTGGGTGCTTTGTTCACTCACTCGAATTGACTGCCGTGTTGGTCGGTGGTTCAAGCCCCAGGCTGAACGCTCGATTTTCACTTGCTATTCTCCAGCCCGCGTTAGGAATCACACGTTTAAAGGTAAGACCTCGTTAGTCCTTAGCTCGCACAAGTTTCGACTTCTGAGGGTTGTCGTTCGTAGGGGTACGATATCTTGTCAGCTGAAGGATCGATTTTGAAGTGTTGATGGTCGNTTTTATTGCTTGGAAAAATAACCGAATGCATTGTTTATGGGATATTTGAATTTTTTGAAGAATCTGATCCTTGATGCAAATGAAAATAAAGATTTGAGAAAATATCGTTTCTTACATTTTGTTTCATTACATATAAACGCATTCATTTATTTTTTCTTGGGTATCAACTGCTTGCCAATTAGTCATGTGTTCTGAGTAGTAATGGTAACAACTCCCTGAGCCACCTAAGGAGCATCATGGCTATTCACAGTTCGACAACCATGTAACGTTGCAGAATCATCCTAACCTCAACTATTTATGTAAAGTTATGCACACTTTCGACGTAGAGTCTGTCGGATTTGGGATAGAGCTGAATTAACATGCATGCTGCCAAATTTCTGAAATGTTCTGGTGACGACTACATTTGGTTTTCACGTAATATAATCGATTACCAAAAACGAAAATACTAATTCAAGTTATGCACCGTTGAGTTTCAGAATAACTAAATACAGGCGGTTAGAAAAATCAGGTTGATAAAATGTTGACAATTTAGTTGAAATGCACCCAAAATTAATTTTTTTCAAATGCGACAGAAAAATGCGTGTGGCTCACAAGTAGACTAGGAAGGGGACGCGTGCCACAACGAAAAAAATACAGGTGAATAGAGAACTGAAAGTTGAGTGAAAATACCACTTCAAATCAATTTGCTCGCCCGTCAAAGTGACAGAAAAAAAATTTTGTGTGGCTCATCAATAAACTAGAAAAAGGGGGCCGCGTGCCACAACGAAAAAATACAGGTTAATACAGAACTGATAGATGAGTGAAAATGCCACTATAAATTTGTTGGCCCGTCAAAGTGAGAGATATTTGCAAAAAACGAACCCCTCTTTATAGTTTAACTGTATTATTCATAACTTCTGAACTATTTGTTTGCACAATTCGATTCAAATTATAAATTACTCTACGTGGAATTACAAATCGAATGACACCTCCATCATAATATTCCATGAAGGTGAACTTAAA